CTCGCAGACCCGAACAACATCTACGCCTGGGACAGCCAGCCCCTGCCCACCGACAAGCTGGATTTCCGCCATCACAACTACAAGGAGATGAGAAAGGTGACTGCCCTGCAGCCCCAGCGTGGAGCTGGGGGGATCCTCTGCACCCCTGGGGGTTCCCCAGCATGAGGCAGGGGATTTCCACATCCCCGGGGTGCCCCTGGACCCTGACCCAGAGCGCTGTGCCCTCCCCAGCTGATGAAGCGGGTGAACGATGAGTGCCCCGATATCACCCGTGTTTACAGCATCGGGAAGAGCTACCTGGGCCTCAAGATGTACGTCATGGAGATCTCTGACAACCCCGGGCAGCACGAAGTGGGTAGGTGAGCTGTGGCTCTGGGGCAGGGAGGGGAGGTGGCAGCTGGTGACACCCAGGCTGGTGCAGGATGGGGATGGGGTGGCCAGGGATGGCCAGGCTGGCATGGGGCATAGAGAACTGGTGTGGCTGTGTCCCCTGCTGCCACCATGCACTGTGCCCGGCAGGCGAGCCGGAGTTCCGCTACGTGGCGGGGATGCACGGCAATGAGGTGCTGGGCCGGGAGCTGCTGCTCAACCTGATGGAGTACCTGTGCCGGGAGTTTCGGCTGGGCAACCCCCGCGTGGTGCAGCTGGTCACTGAGACCCGCATCCACCTCCTGCCCTCCATGAACCCCGACGGCTACGAGACTGCCTACAAGCTGGTAGGGTCGGGCTGCCTGGCCCCAGGGTGCTGAGCACCGACCTGCTGCCGGGCTGTTCCCAGCTCTAGTCCCTGGTGACCCCATCCTCCTGGCAGGGCTCGGAGCTGTCAGGTTGGGCCATGGGTCGCTGGACCTACGAGGGCATCGACCTCAACCACAACTTCGCTGACCTCAACACGGCGCTGTGGGACGCTGAGGACAACGACCTGGTGCCCCATGAGTTCCCCAACCACTACATCCCCATCCCTGAGTATTACACCTTCGCCAACGCCACGGTGAGTCTGTCCCCATGAGCACCCCGAAACCCATCTCTCCCCCTGCCACAGCATGCCTGAGTGATGCCCACCCATGGTGGACCTGCAGGGTCTTGGCCATGTGCCCCGCAGAGGCGGGGACAGGAGCCTTTCCTCCAACCTGGTGGGGAGTTCACC